CCCCCCCCCCCAGTGATGTCACTACTCTAGCCTAGTCAGCTGACTGCTGAATCTCGATTGCCTACTATTGTAATCAAATAATTTAAAAAACGACAGTAGGGCCTATGGGGTACCGTATTTGGTAAATGATCGTTCTCATCTCAGAGCACTGCGTGTATGTCGGCTGTTTTTCATAGTTGTGCCTTCCCCGTTCCCCTAACAGCATGCTTTATATTCTTTATTTAAAGCAGCATGTAGTTACCCCTGCTCAAAACAGGAAGGTTAGAGGGAATCTAATTTTTAGTAGGATATAATCAATTTACTTTTTTTCCTAGTTATAAGGCGCATGATTAGAAAGGGATATAAATCAATGAGGACTGAGATAAAATGTGTCATTTTGGCTTTATAGTTTAAAGCTAATTCTTTTGACAATGTATCCGGTGATAGTAATTTCCTTCTTCTCGAATTTTTCTTTCACGGTACACTGGTCCACTGCGTACTAGTATGTAAATGCATCCACAAAGATCCTGTACTACATAGTTATTAACTTGTTATTCTTCATGCCCCCTTGAACATAGAGCGAGCATTCAATTACACAGCTACTGGCTTAGCCATAATCGATACCGACTAAGAGCAAGTTTGTGATCAGTTGCTCCAACAGGTAACCTTTTTTTGGAGTCGAGGCAAGTTTCGCCCCCCCCCCAAACACACTTTAAAAATCGAAGATGTGATGAACACCATGACCTACCAGGAGAAAGGCAAAAAAACAACAACAACAACAAACAAAAAAAACAAACAAAAACGAACGTTGGTGATGAAAATGAAAGAAGGGTATAAAAATAGTCTATAAAACTATAATTCAAGAACTGAAGAGCCCCTCGTCGAAAACTCGTCTTTTTCGCATGTAGGCCTTATCTAGTCCTGCAGTTCCTTTGAATTGCCCCTCCAAGGGCAGCAGGTAAATTTTTACTTTCACTCCCACACATAGAAGCACTTTTTAGGGGGTCAATTGTGGCCACCAAAACTGTTGCAAATCAATTGTTTTAAAGAAAATTTCATTTCTAATAGCTTATGGCAAAACATCAAATTATGTGAACC